TTTCTTAAGGCTGCAGGGATGGGCTTTTTGGAGTTCCAGTGGCTCACTGTTGTCAGCTTGATGTCATGGCCCACCCAGTTTTTTCCCTAGAGCAGGCTACATGACAGCATTTTAAAAATTAATAATTCAATTCACTGTCAAGCTTCTTCCCCCAAACACACTCAGGCCCAGGGTCGTGGGCACATACATCAGCGGTCATGGGACACGTACCACCAGAGTGATGGAGTAAGGGGTGGGACCTTTATATTGCCAGTTCAGTAGATTTCTTGGAACCTTCCAGGAAGCCACTAAAGACAAAAAGAGGCAAGAATAAAGCTGAGGCGGTTCCAACCCCGAAACTGAAACATAAATTTAAGGAAGTCATATGCTTAATATTACATTTTATAATCTAAAAGACAATGTAACATAATTTTTCAAAACATTTTAAAACCATAAAGTCACTCCATATTCTATACCACTTTCCTGCCTTCTCCAAGCACCAAAATTATTTTCAGCTGGACACAGCCTGCCCAGCCTGGGTTCCCAGATGCTCGCCTCCCCAAGAGAGCTGCCATGATTGTGGATATTTTAAAATGGAAATATTTCTATTAAAAATAGCGCCAGAGTAAGTGAAAGCTACACTGACACTCCAAGGATGAAACTGGAACTACAACTCAAATACAGAAAAAACACCATGAAAAATCAACTTAAGACTTGCTGGAGAGAACCCTGATAACCAAGGACAGAAAGTAGAGACTGGTAGGAAGGGCAAAGATGTGAAAGGGGTGGCTGGGCTCCCACAGACAGCAGTTGAAGGTTCAGTAGGGATATCTCAGCTGTGGGGGGGTTCCCACTGAGAACTCTGGGATCTAAACCCAGAACTAGGCTCCCCAGCCCAGACCACCAGAACTGAGAAAGCTGTGAAAAGCAGCAGGGTTACTATCTGCCAGCCAGAGACAGCTGGAAATGCAGGCACACTCTTAAAAGAGCCAACACACAAAATTTTGTGTGTAGCCACTCACCTTGGGCTCTGTTAGAGGGAAGGCAGAGTGGACCGGAGCTGTGTGAGGAGAGTCCAGGGTTGGGGGCTCTGGGGTTGGAGCTTAGAGGGCAGCCATCCTGGTTTCCTGTGCTGAGTCATTCCCTCATGCTGCTGAAGACATCTTTCTCATACAGACCTTTGCTCTCCAGGTAGTTTTGGCCTAGGGGAAAAATAGTTGCCACACACTGTTGGGAAAACTCTGGCCCTACCTTGTGGTCCATAGCCCAAGGCCAATCAAGGCTGAAAACAATCAGACTACAGATCTCTGGAG